CAGGAAAAAAAATGCAGTAGGCACAGATTAGGTAAGGAGAAATATTGAGTCCAAAATGTGTGTTGACTTTTATTTGTCAGAACAAAATACTGAAAAGAAATGCAAACGTATCTAATTCTCAATCAAATGAAAATGTTATAAAACCCAGATAATGTTATTTTATGGGACAACTTTCAGCACGCAAATTTAACCAATTGGAATTATTTTTAAAGTAACATTGAATGCAACCTTTTGAAAAGAAGAATTTGCCTTTGAATGAGAAGTCTTCCTTTTATTGTAAAGATAAAACACAATGTTCTTGGCCTAGTTATTCTCCAGATGGTCATGGATCAGTCCCCACAGCTCTGTGAACACATAGTTACATCCTCCAGAAAGGCTGACTAAAAAAAAAAGTGTATACTTAACATTTAAATGATTATTGTTTGATTGACTTCTATTTCTGTTGATAGGAAAGTGGAAGGAAAGGAAATAAGCATTTATGTAGAACTTACTATGACCATCATCCTACCAGTAAACAGAGATTCCTACCTGAGAGTCATCTTTGACTTTCTTCCTCAGTATCCACGTCCAATCAGTTACTAAAATCCTGTCTGGGACTGTGAATATCTCTTGCATCTGGCCCTACCCAAATTCCACTGCAACCAACCTTGTCTGAACACTCATCTTTTCTCATTTGGATTATTGTAAGAACATCTTCCTAGTCTTATCTTACACTTCTCTCTTGCACATACTCTACTCTCTAGTCCAACCAGCCTGGACTACTTTGTTCTGATCTCTCCACCAGTCCCATCTCTTCACTCAAGCTGATCCTCATGCCTAGAATGAATTGTTACCACCACCACCACCACCTCCATCCACTTATGATCCCCTTATGTCCCCTACTTCCTTCAAGCTCCAACTCTGATTTCACCTCTCTGACATCTTCCCTGAATATTCACCAATTGAAAATTATCTCCACCTTCTCCATCTTTTTGGTAGCACATCACCTGGCCAATTGTTTTCTACTTGTCCTTATGTCATAAGTGGCTCCTTAAGAAAAGAGTCTGCATCATGTCTCTCTATCTTTGTATCAAGTCCAGGCCTTATGCCTTGCTCAGGGTCACACATCTATTAAGTGTCTGAGGCCAGATTTGAACTCATGAAGATGAGTCTTTCTGACTCAGCATCTGGCACTCTATCCACTGTGCCACCGAGCTGCCCATATGTAAATGCTAGGGATTATGCTTGTGATTAACCAAAGCTAGCAGTGGTGACCATGGTTCCTCCAATGGTCATGATGTGCTCCCCAAAGCTAGCCTAATTGGGAGGCTGCAGAGTAAGAACTACCCAAATTGGACAATCAATAGAATGAATTAAAAAATGCCTATTGTCCACACTACAGTATGGATGGTCTTTTAATAAAGATGATCCATATCTTCAGTCATTTTAACACTAATATTCTTCCTGCAAAGATAGTAATTCATGGAATACAGCAGTCTCCAGTGAATCCAAAAGGAAGACAGAGACATGTGATAGGAGGAGAGACATATATGATAGGTGTAAGGCAATATGATCAGTGTGGATTGAGTTGAATGTCATATAATGAAAGCTGTGGTATCAACAAACTTATACATAGTAATGGAAACATATTTAAATATGAAGTAAGAACTTAACTATTTAAATATCCTTCAAGTTGGTTGTGCCTAAAGAGGGAATATTTTTTTTCATATCTAGATATTAATATCACAGCTACTATCACCTTAAAAAATATATAGTTATGAACCCAGATGCATATTTCTCTCTTGATTAAAAAAAAGTATATATGTATTTATAAGAATTGTTGACTAACCTATAAGACAAAAATAAAACACCTGGACAATCAATAGAATGAATTAAAAAATGCCTATTGTCCACACTACAGTATGGATGGTCTTTTAATAAAGATGATCCATATCTTCAGTCATTTTAACACTAATATTCTTCCTGCAAAGATAGTAATTCATGGAATACAGCAGTCTCCAATGAATCCAAAAGGAAGACAGAGACATGTGATAGGAGGAGAGACATATATGATAGGTGTAAATATGCTGTAACATATTAGCAATGGCAAATTATTTGAAAGGAGTGAGATGATGACTGGTAAAGGGGGTGAACCAGTCATGTATAGTGGGGGGGGAGGGGCAAGGGAACAAACATGTATTAAACACCTACTATATGCCAGGTACCATGCTAAGCACTTATAGACTTTATCATATTTGACCGAATGAAAGGTTAGTCTATATGCTGCCCTAGTATACCTATGTTTTAGGAGACATATAGAAAGGCCTGAAGCAGGAAGCATGTGCTTCCCATGATAGATTTATACAAGAATTGCATAGTATGAGAATGCATAGATAAGTTGCAAACTATCCTACTAGAGGGTGTACCCACATTGCTGAGATCCCAGATCTGTTCACTGAAGAGTAATGATTATCATGATTATCATTATGGTGAGCTTGTAGTTTAAGGGTATTTGGCAAGTTTGAATATCTGTTTTGACTAATATAACACTGTATATATAATTTTAATCCATTAAGAAAAATATGACTAGGTCAGGAATTATGTGATGATCAAATAAGATGTTGTGTGCAGAAATTGAATTGAAAATTAGAAAATAGGGGCAGCTAGGTGGCGCAGTGGAAAGAGCATCAGCTCTGGAGTCAAGAGGACCTGAGTTCAAATCCGTCCTCAGACACTTGATACTTACTAGCTGTGTGACCCTGGGCAAGTCACTTAACCTTATTGCCTAGCAAAGCAAACAAACAACCAAAAACAAAACAAAAAAGAAAATTAGAAAACACTATCTGGATGTAAGCTAGTAAATGATAACATTTTTCTTTGAACAGTAGCAAAATATTTCAGATAGACTACAAGTATCCTTCATCTAAAATTCACTCAATATAAGGGAATAAGCATTTAAATAGTGCCTACTGTGTTCCAGGTACTGTGCTACAAATATGCTTTCATTTGTTCCTTACAACAATCCTGTCAGGTAGGTGCTGTTATTATCCCCATTTTATAGTTGAGGAAACTGAGGCAAACAGAAGTTAAGTGACTTGCCCAGGGCCACACAGCTAGTGTCTGAGGCCATATTTGAACTTGGATCTTCCTTACTCCAGGCCCAGCACACTCTCTACTGCCCCAGTGAATAGAGCTGCCTCAGTTTAGTACAGTTTAGCATTTATAATCTATAGAGTGAAGTGCTGATTCATTTTACATAAGTTGTCATTTTAAACTTAAGAAATGTTAATTCTAAAGCATATAGTGTCATAGCACCTTTTGGCAAGCATAACATTGAAGCCAATCTCTACAAATACAATTAAATTCTTAGGCAGAAAGAGAGAGTTGAGTCAGGTTCTTAGAGGTTAGTTTATGATATTAGAGGATTCTACCCATAGCAATAGCCCAAAACAAATGTGTTATAGCAAAGTATAATTTGCCTATCAAGATCCCAACTATCCAGAAACCTCACTTACCCAGAATTTACCTGAGAATTAGGAAGTAAGTCGAAATAGAAATCACAAAGTCCATTCACTAAGTAAAGTTAATACATTTTATTCATAGGATAGGACTTCACTACCTCTTTATTTTTATTGGACACCCACAGTTCTAAAAATCATTCTTTTCTGGTACTAAAGGCCTCATATAATTAAAAACAACAAATTAGAAAGGGGCAGGGGTTGCATGGTAAGGAAGGTGTCACAATCAAATACAATTAGTTATAGCAGTAAGAAAGGACAGCTGACAGGAAAGAGAGAAGACCAAGAAATATAAAAATCAAACACAAGAACTCAAAAGGTCTGGCAGTTTGGGTCCATATATGTAGGGCAGGCAACCCTACATAACTCAGGAGCCCTTCATTGTGATGATCCTGATTTCTTGGAAAAAAAGTAATGTAATATATTATTATAGAGCCAAGTATACAATTAATATCCTGGAATTTAATCTATAGAACACTTTCAGGCCTAAAATATCTCTTTAAAAATATAATTTTAGATAATCTGGCAATTATTTGGTATTTTGATTCATCTCATGTTACATGAAAGTGTTAATTCTTGATATTACAAATGTAATGATTATTTTCCATTATAAATCCCCAGGCTAATTGACTAATTAGATTTGATTTCTCTTTTTCAACTAGAATATTTGGGGTTTTGTAAGAAATCTAAATTTTAACCTAAATTGGCTATACAAGTGAATTCCACAATTTCAGACTTTAAGTTGGTCCATTGAAAATAGAACATCAAAGCCTAAACATGTTTCATAGGGAGATCTCTGAGGGTGACTGTACTGGTATAGGTGTGTTGTCTTGTACTACAGCTTATTTAGAACATTCAATTTAGTCCTTATAGTAATGTGTCATTAGTCAATAAACATTCATTAAGGACCTACTATGTGCCAGGCACTGGGCTGAGTAGGATACCAAAAAAAAAGCAAATGACAGTCCCAATTCTCAAGGAGTTCAGAGACTAATATTGGATAGAGCATTCATTAAGTGCCTGCTTTGTGCCAAGTATAATGATAATACAAATACAAGCAAGTAAAATATTCCCTGCCCATGAGGAGTTTACAGTCTACTGAGGAGGGAAGGCAACATAAAGGGGAATTGGAAAGCAAGAGGGCTGTTCATAGGGAGGCATGGCACATGGACAACCAATAAGTGCTTTGGAGGCCTAGCTCAGATATAAGTCTGGAATAAGGCTGAATGAAGCTGACCTATCAAAGCCCAAGGTGGTTCCAGTCCAATTTTCTGGTGGGGAGGGGGCAGAGATAGTTGCTTGAGTGGAGACAGCATGATGTAGAGATGGTCAGAAAGTGATATTTGAAAGCAGGAAAATGTTTAGAATTTGTAGCTTATGATACTCCAAATGTATGTCAAATTTAGTATTCTTTTTAATGGTCAATTATTATCAATACTTGTTTCCATACCGATGCTAAAATCTCTGGCTCATTTTGCCTTATTTCTATTTTGTGTTTTGTAGGTAAGTATGCTGAAGATATATTTGGAGAACTATTTAATGAAGCACACAGTTTTTCCTTCAGAGTCAACTCTTTACAAGAGCGAGTAGATCGTTTGTCTGTTAGTGTTACACAACTTGATCCCAAGGAAGAAGAATGTAAGTTCATTCGTGGTATTATATGTTGATTAAATATTTTTTTTATGTCCAGTAAAGAGCGTATTTGGGAGCAGAGCCAAATAAATATACAATTTTGCTATGAATATTTTTCTTCCAAAGATTCTTGATATGTATTGTTTAGTCATCAATGAATCCATGATAGTTAATCCACAGCATTTTTTAAGCACCTGCCATGCTCTAGACACTGTGATAGCGACTGGAGATACAAGAATGGTGGCCAAGGAAGGGTGCTTTGGTTTTTTGGTCATAAAGATTGTGATTAGAGTTATAAGGGAATAGATTGTAATTTCCTTTCCATTAGTGATGGTAATACTGATTTGATTATTGTTCTTAGAGAGGAAGAGGGTTAGAAATTGGGACTGGGGATGAGGAATGGGTCAAAACTCCATGTGCTGAGGAGGCCCTGGTATCTACATGGATGATTGACAAAGATGGGAAGTGGGGACTGAGGGCAGCCAGATATAGTAGGCTAGGACAAAAATTAAAAAAATGTTTTTCCTTTTCCTCATGTACACTACACAGTTCATGAGTTGTCAGTAAAATTGTAACATCAGAGGGAAAATTTTTCAGTAAGCTTTCTCTCTTTCTCCATTTCTTCCAATTCATTTGCATACTTTAATCTTAGTGGTGAAAATTCTGTGAAACTGCTTTAGAAAACCCTAAATGGGTGTAAATTATTTATATAAATGCCTTAACTTAGAATTTTTGTGCTTTATATGAGCAAGTTGAATACAGTTTTTTAAAACTGCTAGGAAGTCTCTCCTCTTTCAATGGATTTAGTGCTGCTCTTGAAGGCTCCAGATTGTCAATGCTTGAGGCTGAAATTCTTCACATTTTGATGTTAAGCCAGAGGCATGAGATTCAGAAGCTATATTACAAGCTAAAATAATTTTAGAACCTTTAGTGTGAAAGCATATCACATGCCTTCAAGCCTTGATGGAGTCCTTTGAAAGCTATTGTCTCCCAAGTGCCAGTTTCCTTCTCTGCCAAAAGAAACATAAGAGCTAAGAACATAATTTTCATTTTCCTTCTCTTGAGAGTTGTTGGATGTGACTCTATAATAGTCACTGTCTTCAGAGAAAAAAATAATTTCTGGTGAGTAATTTTCTTTGGTTCAAATATGAAACTTCAGTAGATCCAAATTTTAAGAGGAAAAATGTCAGAAGATTTCTTGAAACCAGAAAGCAGATGAAGAGGAAATGGACCAACTTCCTTTGACAGTTTGACCCAAGACGTAAGTGACAAGAAGCAAATACCTCAAACAAAGATGTTATTAAATTGGCTCCTAGCTAGTTTCTATCACTAAAATGAATCATCAAAATGTGTTTACAGATATATAAGATGTTAAAAGCAATTTGACAGGTACATAACTCTGATCCTAGCTGAGAATGTGAGAGCCTCTTTTCCCAGTATCAAATAAATCTTTAATTCCAGAAGAGACTTTATTTCACATTTTTCTCTTCCCATCAACTAGAAGTCAGTATCTCACTATATAAAGCTTTAAACTGGCAAAACTATGAAAGGGTTTTCATAAGCCATATACAGTAGGCTGTGGAATTTTCTTTCCTTGGAAATTTGACTCAGCTGTGGTATTAGAACATCATAGAAGACACATCTTTAAACCTCCCTCAAGCTAGAATTCAAAATGCCCTGTTGATTCTTTATCCTTGATAACATCTTTCATATCCAGTCCATCCTCTCCTTGCTCATGAACAAAATAAGCAAAAGCAGACCACTATGCATAATGATGATAACGATGTAAATGAGAATCACTGAAGGGAAGCTGAACTCTGAGTAACAAAAAGATCAGTTGGATGGTAGGAATTGTTTTTCTTTTTATAAGGGAGAGTTCAGTTTGGGGACATGGGCTGTCATTATGTTATATCCAGAAATGATGGATATAAAATCCAAGAGTCAGTAAAGCCTGTTTTTTCAAAAGAGAAACAGTGATGCCAAAATGAAAATATGTTGTTAGTCATTTGATTTTCACTAACATGAATGTCTTTTGAAAGCTTTAAATCCATGAGTCTATATAGGAATAAGAAGAAGATTTTGCGAACTTCAAAGTTTAAATGAAAATCAGACATCCACAGAAGCCAAACTGAGCACAAAATGCACCATGAAGTTAACATGTTGATGTCAAGGAACATAAAGTCAAAAAAATTAGTTATGTAAGGCCAGAGGGAAAAAAAGGAAGATAAAATTGAATCTCTTTTTTAAGTGACTCTAGTGATGAAACTGAAATTTTCCACTAATACTTAAATGCAAGGATTTTTAATTTCAGTTCTTTATACCCATATGAATGGCAGCTTCTTTATAACTTAGTGGTCTTCATAGTTAGGGCAGCTAAGTGATGCAGTGGATAGAATTCTAGGCTGGAGTCAGGAAGAGTGAGTTCAGATCTGGCCTTAGATGCTTACTAGTTTTGTGACCTTGGGCAAGTCACCTAACCCTGTTTACCTCAGTTTCCTCATCTGTAAAATGAGCCAGAGAAGAAATGGCAAAACACTCCAGAATCTTTGCTAAGAAAACCCCAAGTGGGGTCATGAAGAGTTGGACATGACTGAAACAACTGAAGTCAGGCATTTATTAAGTGTCTGCTATGTGCTAGGCACTGTGCTAAGCATTGAGTATACAAAGAAAGAAAAATATCCCTGCTTTCAAGGAAATAATGAGGGAAACAACATACAAACAACTATGTACAAGCAAAATACATACAGGATAAATTGGATATCAACAGAGGGAAGGAGCTATGATAGCTAATAATAGTTAGCATTTACATAGTCCTTTAAGGTTTTACAAAGCACTTTCCATATGTTATCTCATTTGATATTCACAACAACCCTATATTTTACCCCAAGTTTAGAAGTGAGGAAACGAGGTTCGCCAACTAGTATCTGAGGCAGCATTTGAAATTAGGTCTTCCTGACTTCAAGTCCAACACTCTAGCTATTCTGCCAACTAGCTCCCTAGCACTAGAATTGAGGGGGGAATCAGGAAAGGCATCTTTAATAGCTACTACTAGGAAATATGTATATGGTGCTTTAAGGTTTACAAAGCACTTTACAAATATTATGTCATTTTATCTTCATAACCCTGGAAGGTAGATGCTATTGTAATACCCATTTTAGAGGTAAGGAAGCTGAGACAGATGGAGGTTCAGTAACCTGTCCAGGATCACACAGCTAGTAAGTATCTGAGGCTAACCTGGAACTCATCTTCCTGACTCCAGGACCACTATCCATTGTTCCTTCTAGCTGCCTCTCATAGAAGTTGAGATTTTAACTGTGACTTGAAGGAAGTCAGAACGCTGTGATGATGAGGGAGAGAATTCCAGGTATCAACATCCAAGGAAAATTCCCAGAGCTGGGAGATGGATTATCTTGTGTGAGGAACAGCAAAGGAAGCTGGTATCACTGAACTGGGGAATTAGTGTGGGGGGGGGAAGTAAAGTATAAAAAGACTGGAAAGGTGGGAAGAAGCCTTATTATGGAAGGTTTTGAATTCGGAATAAAGGGCTTTCTATTTGTTTCTGGAGGCAGTAGAGAGACACCAAGTTTATTGAATGGAGGGTACTGTGGAGTGATGTGTTCAGACTTGCGCTTTAGGAAGATCAATTTGACAGCTGAGTGAAGGAGAGACTGAGTGGGAAGAGGCTTGGCAGGTGGAAAAACAACCAGAAAGCTATTATAATATTCCATGCATGAAGTGATGAGGGCCTGTGCCAGGGTGGTGGCAGTGTCAGAGGAAAGAGTATATACAAGAGATAGTATGAAGATAGAATTCATAGGCCTTGACAACAAATTGGTTGGGAGATGAGAGAGAGTTAGGAGTTGAGGATGACACCTAGGTTGTGAGGCTGACCAACTGGGAACATTATAGTGCCTTTGGCAGCAACAGGAAAGTTAGGAAGAGGAGAGAACTTGGGGGAAAAGATAGTGAATTTAGTTTTGGACATGTTTAATTTAAGAGGTCTACAGGACATCTAGTTTAAAATGTCCATTAGACATTTGTAAATGTGAGACTGGAGGTTAGGAGAAGTTAGGGCTGGGTAAGTTAAGGTGATATTTGAATCCATGGAGCTGATGAGATCTCAAAGTGAAATAGTCATAAGGAAAAGGGAAGAGGATTTGAGGTTAGCACTTTGGGGGACACTGCAAGTTATCAGCTATGACTATATGAAGCAAAGGAGATTGAGAGGGGGTGGTCAGACAGGAAGGAAGAGAATCAGGACAGAGCAATGTCAAACCTAGAAGAGAATATCAGGGAGAATGGTGATCAATAATGTCAAAGGCTAAAGAAAGTTCAAGAAGAATTAAGACCAAGAAAAGACAATTAAGAGGTCATTGATAATTTTGGAGAGGACAGTTTCAACTGGATGATGGGGTTGGGAGTCTTAAGAAGAGAGTGATAAGAAAGGAAATAGAGGCACTAATTGTTTTGGATTACTCAAGGAGAAACGACAAAAAAGGAGAGCTATGGGATGATACCTGGTGAGGTATGTTTGTTTGCAGTAAGGAAGTGATCAATAGAGATTGAAGATTAGAGGGAACAATCTGCTGGAGAAGATGGGTTGGAATGGGATTACTTGTGCATATAGAGGGGACTGTTTTGGCAAGAAGGGCCACCTCTTCATGTGAAATAGGGATGAAAGGAGGAGATAATGGTGGAAAGCATCAAATTGACATGAGATGAGGAGGGGATAAGAGGACCCTCTTGGCAAATGATTGAAATTTATTTTTTTTAGTAAAATTGAAACAAGGTTTTCATTTGGAGGTTGAATCAGGTACCAAGGGGAGGTTTGAAGAGGCTTGAAAAGTTTTGGAAAAGCCCAGGTGGTAAATGGGATAGTGAATTGATTAGGGAGGCATAAAAGCATTGCTGAACTGCAGTGAGAATCCAGTTGATATTTATGTAACATAAGGCTGTTGTTATGTGCTGACCCAATCAGCACAATTTCATGAGTTTCTCCAGTTTCA